GCATCCAAACTAGGGGTCTCAGCCAATCAGAACTGGTCGTGGTCGGGGTAAGGATAACGTCTACCTTTCCTTTAGAATCCTGGTCCATTTCAGTTTTTATGGTGCTGTGTAAGGAGAGGTCGCCGATGTTCTCCGCAGCGGATAGCAGAATGTCTCACATGAAGAAGCCCGTGTCTTTAATGATGTTATATTCTGTGCTAATAGGTATATATACTTGACAAACACGGTGGATAAAATAAGTAAAGGTTTATTGTAAAAACCAGTACAATACCGAAACCCTTCTGTCTGTCAGACAAATCAGACTTATTTAAATAGCCACAAATTGGCTCCGAATTGAATCATAAATTTATACTACGGCTTTGTAATTTACTTTCACCATTGGCTAAAAAATCACAAAATGTATCTTTTAAAACCACGCCAGTTTTATTTAGGTGGGTCTTTGACCATCAGACTTGAACCTTTTTTACAAATTTTTAAAAAACCAAATGTAATACAAATATCTTTTCTCTAAACCGTGAAGTTTCATTTTGGCAGTATTAAAACATCAATTTGAGCTTCACATATACAAAGTTTTACACATTTAATTTTATTCATGTCATTTTTACGGTTTGTCTGGTTTCATTATAGCAGGGTTTTTTTTATTTAAAGAATACGTGTTAGTAACTTTCTTCTTTTAATAAAAGATTTTGTAAAATACTCCCCTCAAACAAAAATGAAATAAACAATTCTAGTCTATTGTGTTATTTTTTATTTATTCATTATTTTTATATAATTATACATTTTCTTATTTAATCTATCCGTTTTACACTTAATATATATAGGAATGAAATCCTATATATATTTTTCAACTAATAAAATCCCATCCGAACGTTTTTCTGATAAACAATCGTTACAATGGCAAATACTGCCAAAATACTTGCGGACGTAGTTGTAGACCTACCACGTGTTATTTTTGGACCATTTAGAAAATAACAATAATAACTCCTTTCATCAATCTCACAAATTCCAAAAAAAGATTTTCGCGAACCACTGTGAAATTATTTTGTAACCACTAAAAACCTTGTATTCAACAAGTTCACACTTTTATTTGGATGCCTTTACGGATATAAAAATAGAAGCCTACTGCTTCTCAAGGCTCACAAGAATTTCAGAGGCCAGTTTGATCTACACATTCGTACACACACACACATACACCTCCTCCCCACATACACAATGGAAAAGAGGCAACCAGCAGCCGCTGACTAAGGCCTTGTTCACGCACAGAGTAGAGAGGATTATTAACCAGCTGCCTACGAAGCCGTTGTCTTACGAACTCACAAACACATGAGGCTGGCCGTTATAAAGTATGTCTGTTCATACATTTCAAACTGTACTAAGAACACTTAATCACTTTATAAAACAAACAGACTTCCCTGCAAGGAAAATTGAACATTTTATTGCTATCGTATACTTTTGAAAAGCATATAAATATTATTTCAACTGACATTGTTTCTACTTTTCCTTCAGAAAATAACCTCTTTTTATATTTCATTTAAAAGATGTGTTGTTGTTGATAAATGTTTTGAACCCTGACACTCAGATAGCAACTAAAAACTGGGTAGACGGACTGCAATACATGTACATGTTAGCGCTTCCAGTCAATTATATCAGAAGCTATGACAGCCATACTTGGTGTGGCATCAAAGCATTTATTATTATTATTATTATTATTATTAGCAGCAGCAGATAATTCACTAACTCTTAAAATTCAGGATAATTAAAAAATACCTATTATAAAAATTAAATTATAATAACTATTTTTGTGTGTAAAATATATAAAATAATTTTTTTTTTCACATTAACAAAATTTTTGTGCAAAATATAAAAATTTAATTTCTATAATAACCAAATTTTTTACAAAATAAAATAATTTTTTTTGGAATGAAATGGAATGAAGCGCATTCACTTTCTTATCCCGAATGTTAAAAAAGGTGCAGAAGTAACAAAGATTCGAAACTACTTCGTGAAATTTGAAAGTTACAATTATTTATTAAACTGATACAAAACAATATAACAGTACAAATTTTACAAAAAGAAAAAAAAAAAAAGAAAAAAGCATGCTCAAAAATTTCTCTTCATGCGCTTTATAAAGGACAAGGCAAGATAACGTAGCAAAATTATAGAAACAACTGGCTCTAAAAAAGATTAACAATACAATTTCGCTTAGAAAAAAGATAATCGAAAAACCTATGCGTATTTCACCTCGAGATTCGCAGGGACGTTTTAGTTTTTCAATTTCTTTGTTTTTGAAGTTTCCTTTCACGGTCGGCCAAAGGGTGCAGTTTTTTTTGTTTTTTTTTTTGTTTTTTTTCTTTCGTTGAAGCTGAGATTTTTTTTGCCTTTTGCTCTACTGGTGACTTTCTCAAAAAAAAAAAAAAAAAAACTTATCGCACTCTGGTTCATATCTGATGACCAAGTTAAGTCGACGTCCACTCCCTTCTAGCGTCTAACCACCCTTTCTCGCAGCCAGCAGACTCCGTTTCATCTATGATATAACCACTTTCTTTACCTTCCAAACACCTTCTGATGCTATCCGCTGACCCGTGTTCTTAAATACCCTGAATGGACTACTTTAAATTTCAGTCAGTTATGTGCCATTACATGACTAACTAGGCAGATTTTTCCCCGCAGTAGGTTGCCATTTCTTTCTGCGGTAGACCAGTTGCCATCCAAAGCCATAGAACCCGGTCCATAGATGAAGGAAGAAAACGATTCATACATTTCCTAAGGGTATTAGCACGTAAGTGAATGTAACTTTAAATTTACGATGATGAAAACCACCTAATTTTCATTGGGCAATAAAGACGAGGGTAATATTTTTTCTGAATTTGAAAAAGAAGTTCTCAGTTCGCCATGACAGTTATTTCTGGCGGACTTTTTAGAGTCAATTCTAAATAAAAAAAAATAACAAAACAAAAAAAGACTTCTACACTGAAAATTTTTAATAAACCATCTGGCTTCCCTTTAATACACTTCTCCCAAAAGTAAGTGTAGACAAACTCAGACTATTTAATAATATTTATGTATTTGTAAATGTTGGTTGTGTTGAAAAGATTAATGTAGCTGCGTGTTGAAGAGCATTTAACATTTATACATTTTCTAAATCAAGGAAAAACAATGGAAAACCGATTTGTGTTTCAACGATAAAATATATATTAAAATCAACAAATACAAAACAATTTTTGTAATGTGTGAATAATAAGGAGAAAAAAGTAGTTTCCCTTTATCTGTTAGCTTGAATAAGAATAAATATAATTAAGCAAATTTTCTGAATAGAATGTTCAAAGTTCTGTATTGAAATAGAATGTGTATTCAGAAGAACATACAGTAAGTTCAGTTGTGTGTTTTGTATAACTAACAGAGCTGTTGCAACTTGGCAAAGAACTGATGGTGAATGATATTCAAGTTCTGTGTCTGTGTGCGTGCGTGCAGAGTGAGTAGAATGAATAGTCTGTGTAGACACGTGTGAGTTGTTGAGTTCTACTGTCTTCTACTGTCTAATTTTGGAACGAATCCGGGCTTTTATTATTACCGGTAGGCTCCCAGCACGAACGCGGGATAAATTTTGAAAGAACACGAAAAATATCTGATTGGATGAAAAATTAACCATTCGGTGATTTTATAACAAAAGCATGTTTGTGAATTAACGGTAGGAAAAAATCAGTGTGGTGAATGCGATCAGTAAATTGTCCTGTGATAATTAGTATTTATTATTTAACCAATCACGGTTAAGAAAATGTAGGCGTGGCAAAACATAGTAGTAATCACTACATATTCATACTTTTAATAAAATTTACAGTAATAATGTGAATTATTTTACACTACAAACTTAGAAAAAAATTATACTATGTGTATGCAATTAAATATTTTATGACATCACTAGAAGGGTAAGAAAATAATGAAAAAAAAATAAAAACAATGAATTAAACTTAAAAGTATCATTTCATTAGTTTTTTTTATACTTCTAATGTAAAAGCATATGGAATAAAAATTATATTCTTAAACTATTTGTTATACAATGTTAAAAGTAATTTATTTTTAAACATAATTACCAATTTATTGATTATTACACTGCTGGTGTTCCGTATTTATTTATTTATTTATTTATTTTTAATTTTTCGCGCCTTTTTTTAAGTCAGGGGTTAAATTATATAGTTTCTGACATCGTAGTATATCATGCGTAAATACTCGTTATTTTCATTATATTTTTAAGTAAAGTAAAATGTAAGTATTACTTTTTTTTTTACAAATTTATTTTGAAACACGAGGGCGAATACTGGCTTTTAAAATTTGTTTACAATCTACATTTTTCGCCTATAATGACGGTTCATTCAATGAATTGATGGGTGACGAGTAAACATTCCAAATGTTTACTAACGAAAAAAGGTTTTATTATTCACATATGGAAACTGATTTTTCTTTTCATATGGATAAGTTTGTTTTTTGTTTTTTTGTCTATCTTTCAAATACCAAAATTTAACTTCAAGAAGACATTTTTTAAATTATTTAAAATGCGTTTTTCGGGATAAACAAGGAATTCAGTGACGGTACCCTTTTTCTTCCTTTCTTTTTTTTTTTTTAACTAATCAATGCAGCGATTGAAATTGAACGATTCGACAACATACAAAAATTAAATATTCAGATGATCAAGGTTCGTTGAATAAAAATAAATAAACCGAAACGTAAAATATATTCTACATAGAAGTTGGCATTATACTAAAAAAAATTAAAATTACTAAAAATAAATATTCATTCAAAAGTTTCAGTAGAAAGGAAAGCAAACTTCTAATTGTTCAATAAGCAGAGTAAGAAGAGAAAGTGAAAACTTTTACCCGGTTATATACAATTCAAACCGGACAGGAAGTATTCCCAGTACACGTGCTTTAATTTTATTCAATTGAATGACAAAGAAGTATTTACTGCAGAGCAGGCGACGGTGCAAAGAAGGAAGCGGAAGAAGCATGTTTTCGAGCAGACGTCTCTTCCTCTTCCTGACAAACATGGCGACAACGAACGAGGAAGAAGCAAATGGCTGCATACAAATCCAACAGAAGGACCCAACGGAGACCCTCATGGCACCGGAGCCGGCCGCTACCGAAGAGGTGGTGGTTATGATACCCCAACAACATCAGCAGGTACAGCATCAGTCATCAGATAAGAGCCAAGAGGAAGATCTGTTGGCCGAAGCGGCGAGCAAAACCCTCATCGAAATTGGTGCCAATGAAGCCTGTAGAAGTTTGCTTAATGCCGGTGACGAATTTAATGATTTTGGTGAATTGTCCGGGGCTATTGCGGCTGTTTGTAAATTAACTGATGCTGTTTTCACAATTCATGATTGTCAAACGATTACTAAGGCGAATCGGTCTCGTTGTGTCAAAGTTGAACCCTTGGATGAAAAGTTCAAGTATAAATATGTTAAATATGTTTGTAAGCAGTTTGGATGTTCTCGTAGAAGGAACGTGCCTGGGATACGACCGAATCAGAAGTAAGATTTTCTTTCAGTTTCTTTAAAACAAAAATAATGTTAATACATGAACTGCAGTATTAAAAGGAGTTTTATTTGTTTTTATTCTTATTTTTGTGAATATACTCTGCGTCTATATTAATTACGTTATTTATGAAATTTTCTTTCTCTTTTGAAACTTTAAGTTGTAAGTTTTTGAAAGTTCCCTATTACTGTCTACTATGAAATAAATACTTAACAAATTACTTCATAAACTTAAATGCTTTGAATATGTTTTTTTTAGATAGATTAAACTAAATTTTGAAAAGAAAAAACAAAAAAAACCTTTTACTTGGTTGTTAGCAAAAGCTGATGAGCACTAAATTTTACTTCTCCCCCTTCAAAACACTAACAAACAAAAACTATTGAAGAAAAAAAAATCAAAACAATACATGAACTAAGAAATCGTGATACGATGGATGACTATTTTACAAACTTTATGCATATTCAAAGACAAACAAGACTTTAGTTTAAATGGCATCAAATCGACATGAATTTATAAAAATATAAGAATTTACAGACGTTCAATTTAAATGTCATAATATAAATTCTAATGCGCGGGAAGTTGTGTTTTGAGGAGGGATATGCATTGTCGGAGAATTTAAAAATGTTAAATTCTAACGTTCAGGCATTGAGGGTGTGATGTCAAAATTTAAAATTCGACCACATAAATATTAAAACAAAACTTGAACTCAAATATTTTTAATTACTACATTTTTGGTGTCTCTGTAAACTTTTTAATTTTACGAGTGAATAAAAAAAACGTTCAAAACTTGTAACAGTTTTAATAACTTCACCGTGTTGTCCTTTTAAGAAGATTAGACAGAGAAATATACCAAAATTACTTGTATCCAATGTAGAGAACGGGCGATATTTGAAATTTGAGAGTTTGAAAAGTTGTTTATCTCTGCATAAAAACTTACGTAATTTGCAAGTGAAAAAGATTAAAGTTGTAAACACAAAGACTTTTTAGTTTAATTTTTTAAATCTATCGAAAATCAACTATTTTTCTGAGTTCAATAAAATTTTCTGTACATATTTTTACTTAAAAATATAATTTTAACAGGAGTTTGCAAGCATATTTTTACGTTTTCAATTAATTCATCCCTTTCGATATTTAAAATCAAATTCAAAATCTAAGAAATCTTTAAAAAATTAGTAGCTTAATATTTTTAAATCATTATACATTTTTCTGACTGAATTTCTAGGATGAGGACTGAGGAGTTATCATCACTTCAAGGCTCTTTAGTCTTTGTTGTTATCACAACGTTTCGACTCTTGCGCCCTTTGGCCTTCAGGTGTCGATCACGGGGCAATACAGAGGATTTTTTTAAAGCGCTGATTCGTGAATTTGGTGGCATAGTAATTGAGTTCAATCTTTGGGGCAGGTAAGTAAGACTTAGTGGAAACAGTCTCTGCCTGAATTTTTGGGATGAGGAGTTATTATTTATACTCGGTCCATTGTCCTGATCATTGTTGTTAAATGTTATAACGTTTTGTTTGATCATTGTGCTCTCCAGCGTTCTTCAGATGTTCGTTGCTCTAGTCTAGGTAAACTTCACTGGAATTTCAAACTGAACCCTGTATTTAAATCACTAACAAACTAGATTTGTCTTCGTTCTGCAGCCCATAGGGATATCTGATCTTGTTATTTAGTGCTACCCTTGTTATTGCTCGCCCTATTTTCACACTCTTTGTGCAACCTGGCCCAGGGATTGAACACCCAATTACTATGTTACTAAATTCACAAACGCTAATCCACTAAGTTATTCTCTTGTTTAAAGTTACTAAATATTTATTTCAAATCAGATTTATTTACAAATCAGCTATGCCTCAAATAAAGTTTCAGAAGAGTATATTTTATTTTTGCAAGATTTTTAAAACTGAGAACTAACTTGTGTTTACAAATTTAAAAAAAGGGACGATGTTATTGTTACTGAAAAAAAAATGAAAATAGATTTAAATCAATGTAATTTCTGTTTGAAATACACCACCAGAGTATTTTGCTTACTGGAAATAGTAAATTTAATCCTTTAGCTTTCAATTAAAGCTAAAATGAAAGCCTTTTCATTTTTTAAAAATTAATTTAAAGTTAAACCTTGAGTATTGCAATTTTAGTGGAGATACCTACCTGTTATTAACTGATGACATGGGCAATCTATGTCTGTAGATTAAATAAATGGTCCAGTTCAGAATTCCCTTAAGTTTAGCTGAATTGACAAGCAACTGAAGAAGGCTGGAGTGCACAATGTCCAAAACATTGTGATAATAAAAACAATGCAGATAATAGTCAAGTGTAACTAATTGGAAGTCATCTATTTGCACAATTTTTTGAGGACTTCTGTTGGAGGATGGGCAGTTAATGGTTTAAGGCACATATCTCACAAATTGTTATTGCAATACGCATCAAATCAAATATATCTCACAAATTGTTGATATTGAAATTGGGAGGGCCCTCTTTTAAACTACCTAAAATCAGGTACCTCCAATAATTCACTGAAAAAAAAGAGCATAGCATGATGAAAATAGGTCCCAAGTTTGATAAGAACAAACTTTTATTGTCAAAATGTTATTATTAAGAAAAGGGAAAGGCCAATGTATTTTTTATTCTTTTATTTAAGTTTGTTTTTATCAAGTTTGGCCTTTTTATTTCAAGCTATGATTTATTTCAGCAAATTATTGGAGGTACCTACATAAAATCCTACGTTTACTGATTTTGAAAGAAATTTCCATTATCCAGTGAAAGTGTTATTTTTATTGTTATTATATCTACTCTTCATGTCCAAGACTTTTTGTCATTAACTGATGATATTCATTACAGTACACTGAGGATAAAACTGAAAAAATATCCTTTTTGAATCAATGATGATTGAGTCTCTTATGCTGGATGATGTCAGCAGCATTGGGCCTCTTTTGTAATTGTTCCAGTCTAATTGCTCTTTGAACTGCAAATATATAAAAAATATCTTAAATTTATTATCATAGACTTCAAAAGGAATCATTTGCTTTTTTTCTCTGTAGTGTTTAATATCAATTCTCTCTAAACTCCTGTATTATTAAGCACTATTAAAAAAAACAAAGCTTATAACAGTGGCTTTCATTTAAAATTTGTTATCTCTAAGACTTAAGGCAAAATGTTCACTGTTTCAAAATTCTGATAACTTTATAAATTTATTTTTTTCCAATACATATCTGTTTTCATTCATGAATTTATCTCCAATACGTATCTGTTTTCATTCATAACAACCTATTTGTTGCTCTGATTTTATTCAGTAAAAATTTCTGTTGAGCTTTCATTAAATTTACAAATGCAACCCAGGAAACTTTTGTCTGTATTTTATTTTGATTCCTCTGATGGTTTTAGCAAATTGTATTGAGTATCAAAAAGAATTGCTCAAATTAACATCAGTATTATAATTTTATAAACTACTATTTTCAGTAGGATTAGAAATCTCTTTGCCAAGAAAAATACTATTAATAATATAATACTAGTTATTCATTTTAAACTAGTTTATCCATCATCTTATTTTTGTGCATTTTTATTTTTAATCTTTTGAAGAGGTGTAGAGATTTGTCTCTTGTTTCCTGTTTGGGATTGGGTTTCCAGCTCCTTCTAAAGTCTTTTTCGTTTTCTTTCACTCCCAATAGCCCCTTGCAGCTGGTTTTATTATTGTTTTGGTTAGGGCTAATTGATTTAAAAAAAAGAAAAAATTCTTGGTGTTTTCACAATGATCATAAAATGACCCAAATAATGAAAATGAAAGATAAAACTAACACAAAATTAATTGTGAAAATGTTTCATTAAAGAAATTGAAACTTAAGACTATTAGCTCTATTACTATCGATATCTTAGTATTAAGGATAATTTAATTTGTTCTGGATGGTTAAAATATTGACAAACATCTGACATGCCCCCCCATACACACAAAAAAAGCTCCAAAAAGTTTCATTGTATAATGACTGAAACAATTTCTTAAAAGTTTACATGTTAAAATATTTATCATCCCCCCCTCCTTCCAGCAAAGCTTAAATGAACGTGTTCCTGACTGATAGCCTTATAACACCACACACACACACACATATATATATATATATATATATATATAATGTTTTGTTTTGGTGACTTGGGCTACAAGAAATATCCTATTCAGTAACATAGATTTGCTTTATTAACCAGTAGAGCATGTCTCTGTCATCAGTTATAGAACATATACATCTATGGTAGTTAGGAGGTTATCAGTTAAGGATGAATTGTGTGTGTTATCTTATGGCAGCATCTGTTCCTGCCATATATCGCTATATTTTGGATTGGGCGTAATAATTAAAAGAAAATTGGCTTTGTGTAATGATTAAAAGAAAATGCACAAAGTGTTGAAAAATACAAAATAAATATTTTTATATCACAATATAATAATACAAAAGTTGAAGTCTTAAGAGGTCAAGTGTAAAAGTCCTGGCGCATACAAGAAATAAAGAGAGTTTGGAAGGAAGTAGATATATATGTATGTATCCAAATGAAGTAATTTGCTACTTAATTAGTGGTGAAAGAAAGGGTATATGCTTTCAGTGTTTAACCATCTCAAGTCACCAGCTGATTGCATTTTGGCTCTGGTTATTTTATGATGATTGCAGCATGGACAAAATTTATTTATTGATTCTGGTTTTAGTTAATTTTCCATCTGATTATGTACACATCTAAAGATCCACTTAAAAAATGCCATTTTGATTCTCATTGGCTTGCAGCCTTATATGCTGGCTGTGAAAGCTTTCTGATTGGTTGGTTGAACTATGGCTTTGTTACCTGGCAATTCTGATTATCCAGCTATTTTCAGAGATTGTGACATTTTGGTTATCTTATTATTTATTTCTCTATCACTAGACATATTAATACTTCCAATTAGTTATGATTACAAGCTATGCCTTATTAGAATACAGCTTTTTCTCTTAATTTAATGATTGGTTATGAATGGACTTGTGCTGTT